CCGAGACGACGTAGCTCAAGGGACATGTTCAGCCAAAGGATGCAGCTAAAGTGTCATTCGATTTAGATTTGGGTTGATTTTCTTGCAGCTTGCATTTGCTTCTTGTGTTTGTACTGTTCATTTGTTTCAATGTTGATGTGATTCTGTGGTGCTTTTCCAAGAACAAGATTGCAGCCCGCGATCGGTGCTGTGATTGCTTCAGGGCAGCAGCAACGGAGTTGGCAACGTTTCAAAGTGCCCTCCGGACATCAGTGATTTCTGGGACTGAAATTGGGACCTTACTTACTGTGGCATTTGATCCTCGACAACCTTTAAAAGCCTTGCACTCACCCCATTCCCCAACATGATGCGAAAACGCTTTGGATCCAGGAATGGTTGTGGCATCTTAGGTTTTTCGCCATGGTGCCACAGGGTGCATTTACATGTGTTGTTTAAACTAGTGTTTGGTCCCGAGTCCTGAAGTGAAAGAGAGCAAAGGGTGCTACCAGTCGATTCTATATGTTCTTGACTTTTTGATTTACGCAGGGCAAGCAACCATGAACGGGCATCCAAATGCATCACTGAAGCGGACGCCACCGACTTACTCAAATGCCTGCAAAAATCGAAGACACCACCTTGTGGTCTTGGTTGAGGCTTTTGCGGAAACACCAAGATGCGAATATATATGTATATACATATAATTATATAGACTAGTGTGTATATATATATATTATCTATATAATTAGTAAATTGAGACATGGGAGCAGCAAGGAAATTTTGCTGCTGGATTGGCAGTTTGACAGACCAAGCATGCTTGCAGGCGGCCTATGTGTCCGACTCATTACGCGGTGTTTCTGAAGGGTCACCTGCAGCAAAAGCCTCAGAAAGGTGGAAGTCATGCAACCCACTAAATATGGAAATTCTAATGTAAATTCTAATACTAATTATTGTTTCTAATAGCTTCTTGTTCCTAGTAGCGATGCCAGGAGCCCCTAGTAGCGTCCTATTAGAATTTAGACTAAGTTTCACTCAGAAATGGAATGAACAGTTGAGTAACATGCATAGCGGGTGCTATTCCCTGAAAACCTGATCGGGGAGCACATGGACCACCCAGCACCAACACCCCTAGATGCAACTTATGCAGAGCCCTTCCCACTAGAATTACCTTCTGTGGGCAGGAAGCAATGAGCTGCTGACAGTAGTTAGTTCACATAAGGAAAGCTGTAGCAGAAACAGGGCTGAAATCCCCGGGAAGAAGGTCGCGAGACAAGAGGTGAAAAATGGTTGCAGCACCTGTGAGTAGGTTGGAGGCCATTGCTATTAGGTAGTATTGGGAATGACTCTAATTCGTCGAAAGAGACCAACATGTTGCAAGCCCTCAAAAGGGATCCGGGTTCACTTGGGCCATGCGCCTCCCACATGGAGTACATTTGCTCAACTTCACCCACGTGGCACGTGTATGAAATGTCTTTTGGGTAGCCTCAAGTTGTAATTGCAGTACGATTTGCTTGCTTGTTTGTCCCTACTAGAGCCTTCTGCTTTGTAAAGATGCTTTGACATCGAGAAATAAGTGTTGCATGAAAAATACTAAGGAACGTGTCGACAACGAAGTAACTTCCAAATCCAAACACCAAAAAAGAAAGAACGTATATATTCGCACTCACTCACAGTCGTCCGCCGCCTTTGCTCTCTAGTTGGTGAGGTCTTGAGTTACAACTGAGTGGCTCTATAAACCTCCCTCTTCATGTTTTGTGGTGGGTTGTCGTACGAATGGTTTGCGTCAGCAAAACCTTGGTGCGCTTAAGGTTGCCTAAGCTTTTTCGAGGAGATGAGTTGCGTAAGCAGCGTAAGCAAGCCCAAGTTTCAGCATACATGTCAGACATGTCATGTCACATTTAGTCTATATCGACAAACTTCATACATCATTGAAACATGCAGGGCATGTTTCTGACAAGCTGCTTGAACATCTCTGAAGAACATTTGAGGGTTGTGTTAATCCTTTATTGGCCCAGCTGTGGCACCGTTTCGGACCAAGGCACCCTTTATGAAACCAAGTTTTGCTCAAGTGACTTTAACGGTACGTGCATGAAGGCATCAAGATGCGCCAAACACACAGCATGCAGATATTGTTTGTTATCAGCAATGTGTTCTGCGGGGAGACGTTTTTTTGTATGAGTTGTGCATGAATATCCAGACAGGTTTATATTGGTGTGCACATGTTTTGTCACTGGCACTCAGACGATGGCTTTTCGAAGGTGGCGCAGCTACCTCGCGAGAAGCGTCCAACCTTCCCTCATGATGACACAACATCTTCGAGGATGGAGGTTCAATGTTTCTTCAACCAATTTTCTTGGAATCGCGATTTAAACTCAGTCGCATGTCGTTTCTGGGTTGACATGATTTGTTCTTCAAGGAACTCACGAAATGAATGAATCAGGGTATGGCACCACATATCCAGACTATTCTTGTGAAGTCAGTGCCTTGAGACACTGCTTGAATGGGTTCACTCCGCAGCCGCCTCAATTCTCTTCGCGGCGGGTTCAACAATTTCTTCCGAAGGGGGTTCGCAACTTGGTAGAATTGCTGCAATTCGTGAAATCGGAGGTGTGCCCTGATTCAACAAATGCAGTGCCCCAACGAATATGAAGTGCATAAGTTTCTCACTCCTTTTGGAGGTGTGCGAAGTGTGGAGTGGGCATGTTGTTCAGTATTTACTGCTCTTTGTGAACTGTCCCCAGCAAAGTCATTGATGTTCAAAAGAAGAAACTATTGTTGCCGGGTTTATTCCTTGACAGTTTGCGAAGGAGTCCACGGGGGTGGCCCTGTTGGTGACCCGTTCGTCGTCGCCAAGGTTCAGCGCATCCCAAGATGGAAGACATTGATTTGGTTCATGTCCCAGACATCAAGTTTCATGTCAATTCTCATGCGGAGCATCTGACATTCAGTGCCTAGGTTCTTCAGCAATGGAGGAGTCTTGAACCGGATGGGGCAGTCTTTCGAGCGCGGGTCCCCAACAACAGAATATGCGACACTAGCAGGACAGCTATTGTCCAAGAAACTGCAGAGCAACAGATTGCCCTGAAGCATCTTAGAGCAGCAGTCTAAGCTTTTGCCAGGCAGAATGCTTGGATGCTGCCATTGCAATGGTGGGCAATTTGATCGCAGAATCAGGGGCACAACGCTGTTCCCAGCGAAAAGCACTGCAACTTCTACGTGTGGACGAGCAGATTCAAGTGCCCGTGCTTGTTCAGATGCTACAAGTGGATGTGGACTTCCTTTTCAACGAACCGAAGCCAGGGAAGGCTGATGGGTTGTCGTCTGCTGTAGTTTACTTTCCTTGCTTTTGGCAAGCTATGCATGAACTTCAGAAACGGCTTGGTGGAGATCCAATGGACAAAGGTACAGAACCGTTTGCTGAAGAAGCGTCCAGTTTCAGGGATGCTATTCTGGATTTAGCAGCTTCACAACGTTTGACAACTGCCAGCTTTGCTGATCTGGTGATTGCATTCAAAGGCACTTCCACAGATCAGCGTGCCTGGGATAGCCTGCTGGAGTCTCTCCGTTTTCTGATGCGTGAGACCAAGGCCACAAAGCATATCGATTGCTCAAGAACTCTCCAGCAGCTTATCCTCGCGCAGGAGCCCATGCCCATGGCGTTTGTGGCATCGATTTTGCTCCCTTGGATTTTCGAACTCTGTGAAGATTACCGCAGAGGCTCCTTTGCTGAGCATGTTGCCTTTTTCTAAAGTTCCACAGGTAGGTTTCACCACCGCAGCCCAACCTATTTCTTGCATGTGCATTCCAATCCTCTAAAAGTGGTACCATAGGAGGTCTCACTTTTCCACTTTTCGTGTCACTTTTCAGTTCTTTGCCCGGGATTCGTCTTCCAAACATTTATCTGCCTGAGGCGAACGAGCAGGCTTACTTCGGGCTGTACGAGATGTCTTGGGGTGTAGCCTCAGAGATGCCTGCGAGCTCCTGGCCAAGGGAAGCTTGTTCTCAGGGCGAACAATGTATGTATGTATATATATATAGTATTATATAGTGATCCCAGTTAGGATTTCCTCTAGGAAATGGTTCAACCCAAGTCCTTTATATGGAAAGGTATCAGTTTCTAGTAACACATGATTTAGTGTATTGGTAGAGCCTCACCGTTTTCTATATTTTTCTACAAAACTGTATGTTTAATGGATTATATAATCACACGTTTTGTCCATGCCCTACCAATTCCTAGAGGAAGCTGCTTTATGCTTGAAAGTCATGAGACATGAAAATAGGTACAAGATCACTTTCTAGATGTTTGGCAGAACAGCAATAACAAAATAAGGAAACCATTTTCTAGAGACAGTCGTTGACTATGCAAACTGTGCAAACCATGTTGTCCAGAAAAATGATTGTCCAGAAAAATTGGCAGCAAAAATTGAGTGGAAAAGAAATGAGGAAAGCTTGCTGTGTCATGGTGTATATATGTCAAACAAAGTATAAGATTGTGCAAGATTTTGCCCTCTAGAAATTGGTTGCTTGATTGATGTGTGTCCTTAGTTTTTTTTTGCGAGAGCTGAACATCTTTGTTTTTTTTTTCACGTTTTGCTAGCGATCAATCTTGTTTTGAAAATTCACTCTTTCTGGCGCCTTACAAAAATGCATGTTTTTGTTTATACTCGGACGATTTAACTCACAATGGAACCCGTACAAGACCATTCCTTGGAGAGACAAGATCATGAAGATAAGGTCTTGCTTTTCTAGAACGCCTAGCGTGTTCTAGACGCCAAAACCATTTACAAGATCAAAGTGTATGCCCCAACTTTTCTAGTTAGAGAATGACTAATCCAGGTTCACCTTGAAATGTTAACGGGTACATATATAGAATGTTATATGTTTGTATAAACTTTGTGTAAAGCTTAAATTATTTTCTTTGTGACGGCGATGGTCGGGCGATGAACTGCAGGGTAGCACGGCATCAATTTGCTTTGCAATAGTTCAACAGACCTATCAACCCAATGTAAAATTGAGCCAGACAGATTTGCCAGTACCTTGAGGTACAGTGGTTGTTTCCAAGCTGGAAACTATTTATGGTTTTTAGGATGTGGACAAAATCGCCCGTTCCCTGATAAAGTCCTGAAGCCAAAAACCATGGTGGGCGATCTCCAGGATTGCCATGAACCTCTCTATCCGCGGTTTCAACAACGAAAAGGACTAGTAGGTTGGAGGCCATCGCTTGTAGGTTGGAGCATCGCTAGTAGGCTGGAGGCCATCGCTAGTAGGAACAACGAAAAGGACTCTTACAAAGATTGGGTTTTGGCGGGCATATGCAACCGGCCTTGCCTTCCAACCGAAATTTCCACAGCAGGATCGTGTAGCTCATACCCTCCATGATGTACAACTAAACTGTGTGGTAAACGACCATTTCACCCAGACCAAACGATTCCAGAGGACTTCATTAATTTATCCTATTCTTCAGGTTTGTGGATGAAACTTTTTCTGCACCGAATGTTCGTTTGACATTGCTTTGACAATGTGCATTATCGTTTTATCAGAAATAACCATTTGATGCTGTCTCAATACCCGCAACTCCCGAGCCATGAACTAATTCGGTTTGCTGTCACTCGTGATTCACAGCCATTGAACTACATCAGCCTATGCCTCTTGTAGTTATCTCCGCCCTGGGTGATCTTGTCGTGTCTTGCTCTGTTGGTTCGGTGCCCCTTTCTTCGTTCTGGTCGGTTCTGCTGCGCTTTGGTGTCTTTTGAGGGTGTTCACTTCAAAAAGGAGTACTTTCTAGAGTTACTAAGAATTAGCTCCTTATTTACTTCTTTTCAGTTCTGGTATGCTCGCATGGTCGTTCCAGGAATTAACTCCTGATTTAAATCTGTTCATTTCTGGCATGGTCGCTTAAGGAGTTAACTCCAGATGTGTTTCATTTCTGGTATGGTCACTTAAGGAATTCACTCCAGTTTCAAATCTTTTCATTTCTGGCATGGTCGCTTGAGGAATTAAATTCAGAGTTAATTCTTTTCATGGGTCGTCGTGGCTTGCAGCATGGGCCTGCCTACTTTCCTTTCCGAGTCTCCCAAGAGGACTGTAAACAGACTTGTAAATTCCACAGTTAGTTCTCGCTTTTGTTGCTCCAAACTATAGTGTCACTGAGCCAGTGTTCTCTCCCTAGTGTAAACCTGTCTACTTTTCAGCTGTTTAAAATCGAATTAAATCCAGAGTTAATTCGTTTTCTTTGTGTCCCAAACTAAAGTGTCACTGAGTTTCCTGGTCGAGTTAATTCCTTTTCTCTTTGTCCCAAGCAATGGTCAATGAAACCACATCACAAAAGAATTAAATCCAAAGTTAACAAGTTTGAAAAGAATTAACTCTTGATGTAATTCTTTTCGCACCCTATGTTGGACCAAGGATTGATGGACAAAAATTACCTCTGAAGTTAATTCATTCTAACTCCTGAAGTCAGTCCCATATTATTGTTGTGTTTGTATACACTGACACCCCGGTACCCCTGAAAGGGAGAGCCGCTGGGTGGCGCTGGAATCGTTGCGCAAGTATCGTCGGGTCGGAGAAACAAGCCTTTTTCGATTGATTGACGTGGCAGTATGGATTAATTGCTGCTGGTGGTGAAGATTTGTGGTGAACGTTTTGCATGAAGATTAGTGTTGCAAAGGATTTTGAAAGCATACTCTACTGAGCAGGGCTTGTGTGTAAGATCTAGTTTAGAAGGTTTTGGAGAGGGCGGTGTTAGCGAGAGCGAACACTTTCTTGAGAGGGTAATGTATCCATTGACCAAAAGTTTGTTCTTATTGCTGCTGTGGCTGTGGCAGCTGCCGCGGGATTGCACCTGAAAAGTTTGGCAAAGCGGCAAAACTATTTTCATGGCAGAGGTTTCGTGGATGGAGAGCGCAGTGCCTCCTAAAGAGATTTGTCCTATTGTTTGTTCTTGTCGTTCTTGGGTTGTTGTTCTTGCTGACCCTTGGCAGTCAGCGGCTTGGTTGGCTGCTGGCTCAACTTTGAATTGAAAGAGGTGGCTGGACTGGTTGGCTTTGGTTGGCCGGGTTGTTTTCCTTTTTTTGAAGTGGCTTGCTTGTTTGGCTGCTCGGTTGATTGACTTTCGATGTTGCTTTTTGGTTTGGAGTTAGCTTTTCTGACTTTGTAATAGTTTCCAACACTTGGTGTTCCTTCCGCAAAATTAAAGGTGCATTCTCTTTACAGTGTCAAAGCAATTTTTGGAACAGAATCGCAAAGGTTCGCTTCTAGATTCTAGATGAGAAACTAACTAATTTCCCCTAACCCCCAGGGTTGAGGTTCAATACCGACATTTTGTTTGTGTGCGTACGTGTCTCGAGAGTAGCAGGATTGGATTGCTTTGAACTCATTTATAAGGGAATACAAAAGTCAATGAAACTAAAACAGGCTGAATAGAAATAATTTTGGG